ACCGACTATGAATGTGTCCCCTTCCTGAAAGACATAATTGTGTAAATGCAAAATGTTAGATGAAAAATATATGATAAACGAATTGCTCGTATACTTGCATACCTTTGAAGTAGACATAAATAACTTGAAATTTGTAGAAACATATGTGACTGTCAGCTAAGTAACACTGGTGTCCTGAAGTCCTTGTTGGGATGGTAAGACTAGTGGTTAAAGTGTCTCCCGCTGGGATATTGCTGGGATATTGCTAAAAGCGGCGTAAACATTCTCACTCACTCACTGAAAGCTAAAGGCCATCAAATATGTAAATGTGTGCACACTATTGATTCATATCTCAAATGCCGTTCAAGCGTCTTGACGGTTATAAAAGAGATATTATTTATATTTATCAAGCTGTTCCAGCATCTTTAGGGTTATATAAAAGAAATGATTCATATTTCTCAGGCTGTTCAAATGCATCTTGACGGTTATATAAGAGAAGTGAAATGAGTCTATGTTGGACTGAAACACACACAGAAAAGGACATGTCAAGTAGATACCACCACAGTTTTAAGTAATTTACATCTAACTTCTCATGTAAGCTTATGACATAGATATTCAGATTTCACTCTATTTATGGGTGTGAAAGGTTTTGCATATGATCTCAATAATAGTGTCTCTTAAGGGTATAAACTCTTCACACCGAACACCCGGGTTCGATTCCTCACATGGGTACAATGTCTGAAGCCCATTTCGGGTGTCCCCCGTCGTGATATTGCTCATATTCACTCACTATAAACTCTTCCTTAAAGGCTGGTCTCAGATTCAATTTCCCCACATTTACTTCCTGAATGAATACTAATAGACACCATCAAGGACATCTTTACATTTAAACAAAATCCACCACACGGACGTGAAAAATATGTATAGGGAAGTATAAATAGGACAAAATGATCATTTGAAAATGTATAACATGTCAATATATAGTGAAATGCTTGCCAGATAACGTTTTACTGAGTAACTGGTTAGAAATGGACATCAGATGCTACATACGGAAGTATTATTTATGTTTTACAGTTATAGTTAAGACATTACATCTAAAAACATATTAGTATTGCTTAACGTTTGTATAGGTATATATATACTGACCAGCAATACAAACGCAACTCAGAATTCATGAAAATTGTACTTTTTCAGCATGAGTTTGAATTTGATACTTTAACACAAGTATGATGTGGTGAGGAAAAAGCATTCACCATGCAGGATGGTGTTCCAAATCATTAGGGAGAAACAAGCAAGGATGAAATGCATGACACACGTGCAGAATGTGGACGTAGGGCTATAAATGCAGGCAGTGTCGTAATGCTGTCATTTCACAGCAACATGCCACGTGTAAGTGAAATGGAGAGACAATAGGCATGCTGAATGCTCGAGTTCGACAAGTTCGTGTAGACCGACATTTTCAGGTGCACCCTTCGACAATAACTCGTCTGCAGCAACGGGTAGTGGCAACTGATCGCACACGGTCCGGTACGACCCCATGTGACGTCACAAAGACAGGACCGGATAATCCAACTTTAGCACCTCCGGAACCGTCTGCAGGCGGCAGTAAGCACTGCTAATGCCGTGATTGGGTCTATGGGGCGCCCTATCAGCGAAAGAACTGTGCGTTCAAGACTCCTAGCAGCAGGCTTACATTGCCGTCGACCTTACCGTGGACCCATCCTCACCAACAGACATCGACTGGAACGGCGCCGTTAGGTGACAAATCGAGGTCACCATGGTTAAGCCAATTCTGTTATACGGCTGCGAAATATGGGGTTTTGAAAACTGTATATCTATAGAATCAATTCATGTAAACTTTTTACGCAAATTCATTCCCGTTAAGAGAAGTCCGTCATTATAATGCTATATGGAAAACTTGGAAGGGTACCCCTAAATAACTCTATCAAATGTCGCATGGAATATTTCTGGGCTAGACTCCTATCTGGTAAAGAACAAAAGCTGTCAACAATTGTATACCAAATGTTATATAATGAAGCTTGCATAAACAATAGCAACCAAAAATGGATAAAATCCGTGGAAGCCGTATTTAATGAAAGAGGCTATAGCATCTGCTGGGTAAGTCAACAAGCTGTTTTTCTCAATGAAATTAAAACTACTATCTCCTTAGGTTTACATGATATAGCAACCCAAACATGGCGCTCAGAGATTTCGAATTCTTCTAAGGGTACAATGTATCGCGTATTCAAATCTGAACTTGTCTTTGAAAAATATCTCACATATATCCCTTCCTCCTTGGCTCTTAAATTTCTCTTGTTTAGAACTTCCTGCCATCGTTGACCTATAGAAGTAAATTCCACTCGAAGAAAGAATGAGTAGCCTCTGCTATATGTGTGATGTTGGCGATGAATTTCACTACATTTTTCTCTGCCCTTTCTTTAAACATCATAGGAAAACTTATATCCCAAACCATTATGTTGAAAAACCCAATGTTTTAAGATTTAACGAATTGTTAAACTGTAAACGAATTAGTGTTTCAAAAAAACTGTGTACATTTTGTAGTACTGTCATGAAAACTGTACAATCTTCCTTGTAAACCATCCCGCCACCCTATGTATTTTCAACTGTAAATTTATTTGTACCTGTTATGTACCCCAGCCTGAGCGTAATAAAAGCTCTGTTCTGTTCTGGACAACGAAGGTGGGATGATGTCATCTTTTCTGACGAATCGAGATTCAGTGTGAGTTTTGATTTCTTGAATTGCGTTTCTTTTGCTAGTCAGTATTGGTATATATCAGTTGTGGGGGTACAACGTATTCTGAAGTAACCATCCAACCCCGCCCTCCCCGTCTAACTCACCAAAAGCGTTGTCCCACACTGTCATATATAATTCAGTACATGTGTATATATAGGAAGGGACGGTGGGGTAGACTAGTGGTTAAATAGTCTGCTCGTCACGCCGAAGACCCGGGTTCGATGCTGCACTTTGGTACAATGTGTGAAGCCAATTTCTGGTGTCCCCCGCCGTGATATTGCGGAAATATTGCTAACAGCGGCGTAAAACCATACTCACTCACATAAAAGAACGTGTCTATCTTTCATATGCACTATCAACTGTTCATTTGAAAGCATTGGGAGCCAGCTATTTCCGGGTGACGATACACTGAACACACACATCGATTGCGTGATGTAAACATGAGCATGTAGTTATTATATGAACCGCAACACGCTATTAAGTGAGATCAGTATTTGTAATTGCTGAACGAAAGTGCGAAAGGAGTGCTTCTGAGAGAGACAACTTTACGTGAATCTCGGGTTATCGTCATTCACTTTCACATCACACCGTATTACCTCCACGTCTCTGTTTTCTACAAACAACAACTATGACGACAATGGCGATGACCACGATCAGGACGGAACAGACAGCAGCCACGGGGACGATGGAAACGGCACCAGATTCAGTAACTTCACGTGCTGAAATATTTAATATGGACAATATTCAGTTCAGTATGCATACGAGTATAATCATGTAACATCAAGACTCTTCGGGAGGTTTTAACACGATTCAAAACATATTAAATCGGTTGACACTTGCGATGTTCATCTGAATAACCTTTCCGGGCCACGCTTTGTAAGTGATTGATGAGGTACGCTGTACATCCCCAACAACAACGTCATTGTCAACATCAGCTCCACAGGAGGACATGCAATGTCCGTAACATCAGTGTTCTCATTGGTGCAGGGTGAAGAAACGGAAATATCTAACGAAAAGGGTCAAATTATATTCCTCATATATATAGAGGTTCAGGAGCACTGTATTCTGTAGGGCTTGGTTTCTAATTGATTTTTCCGAATTAATTGAAACATTTGGGATTTTGGGAGAATCTGAAAGTTAAGACTCATTGGAATGATAATGCCATCAGATGATAGTGAAAATTAAATTCTTCATCAATATAACGGTTTCAAATGGTTAGTTATTTTTAATCTTTGAGTGACATCTAAAGGGTCTTTGATTATTTTAAATCTCTGGGTGTTCTAGCAGGTGTTCCAGGAGATGTTCCAGCAGGATCAGGTTTACGAAAAGGGGGCCGTCCCAACAGGCGTCATCCCTCAAAATAGGTTGTATATAACAGATTCTGTTACTGGAGTGTTAACTTACAGGAGACCTCCAGCGTCAGGTTCCGTGATGCACTCCCATGTGTGTTGTTGACGTGACACGTGTACAGTACAGACACAGATACGTCTACAGCTGGTATAGACAACACAGCCTCCCCCTGTCCTGTAATCTGTCTGGAGATGTCCCACCAGGTTACAGTACAGTGAGGGTTACAGTCAGCAGAACATCTCACAGCTGCAGGTTTCCCTTCTTCTACCTCCAGCTTGTCACTTGTTCCGTCAAACTGTATCTTGTCAGGTCCATCTGGAATGCATGTGAGATGGTCAGCTAAGAAGCTGTTTCAGAGACATTAGTGCAATTTGCTTCGGTGAATATAGACAGGTTGTTTGATTTGGCCTGTGGTCTTGGGATTCACAAAATGGTAAACGTCTCAGACCGATATCAATTTATGCTTTCCTCACATAATAAGTACAGACTACAACTGGAACACCGTTGTAAATCACTCACGCACTCTGTTGACATGTACAACTCTTATGACTACACAATACAATTTAGAAAGTGGCCACGTAACATGTTATATTTGGGATTACACTTTCTTCGTAAAGTACAAATTCTAGTACTTTTGGGTTGAGTCCAATCCGGGATTCGAACCCACATCCTCAGAGTCAGGTACCTAATAGCCTGCACACAAAGTCAGACGCCTAACCCCAGATATAACATGTACAACTCTTAACAACATATCCAGGCGAGCTTACATTGCCGGGGAACTATCAGCATTTTCGATAGCCTCTGAAACTCATGGATCAGCAAAAAAAGTTGTGACAAAACTATCACTCAGAAGCACAGTTTCATAGATAAGATACACGAGGTTCCTATACTGTAAACAAGGTAAGTTCTTACTCACAGAGAACATCCAGTACATGTCCGTGACTCCAGTTAGACTTCAGGCCCTCCTCCACAGTCTGGCAGCTGTAGATGTCTCCCTGGTTCTCTCTGCTGACGTGGGTTATTGTCAGGTCATCTCCACCTGTAGGAGACCCATCACCAGATGCTAGCAGGGTCCTGTTCCTCCTCCAGATGTAGGTCATGGTCAGTGGGGGGTGGTTCGGGGGTAGACTCCGGGATGAGGAGTAGCATGTCAGAGTGACATTCTCACCTGATACAGGTGAGGCAGGTCCGGTGATGTTAGGTCTGGTAGGCTTCGCTGTTAACAAATATAAAAAATGTGCTCAGACCGTAACACGAGTGCCATTGAACAAGATGTTACTAAATGCTTTCATACTTGTTTTTATATACTTTTGATCATTATTATCTATCAAATGTTAAATAGTTAAAGCGTTCAGTCGTCACGTCGAACACCCAGGTTCGATTCCCCAGATGGGTACAATGAGTGAAGCCCATTTCTGATGTTATCTGTCCTGATATTGCTGGAGTATTGCTAAAAACTCACTCACTCACTCACTCACTCACTCACTCACTCACTCACTCACTCACTCACTCACTCACTCACTCACTCACTCACTCACTCACTCACTCACTCACTCACTCACTCACTCACTCACTCACTCACTCACTCACTCACTCACTCACTCACTGAGTGTTCCACAGTTACAGCAGGGAATACATGTTGGCTGGATCCTAATACTCCTAACCGTTTTGTTAATTAAATATGATAGTTACCACACAACTAGTGGCTGCCTCTACTGAAACGAGTTAAATGTACTATCCGGAGAGACGAGGGTCGACGGTGTCACTACCAGGTGCGTCACAACAAATGGTGTTAAAAGATGCAAGACTGATCGACTCTGATACACTCATCCATGTTAAACTGCGACACTGCTTCTTTGTTGGTGAACAAGCATATTTCATATACAACACACACATGCATACAACACACACACACGCGCATACACACGCAAACACACATACGCACGCGCGCGCTCACGCAGGCACATACACACACACACACGTATCCATGTCGGCATATATACAATAATCTAACCCCCCTGCTGCAGTAGAAGACTGAACAGCTATTTAATTATGTTGGAGATATATATATACAATAATCTAAACCCCAATTTCACCTCACCTAAAGTTCTTCTACTGCAATAGAAGATTGAACAGCTATTTATTAATGTTGGAGACACATTAAGATAGTCCAGCTATATTCTTCAAATAACAGTCTGTTAAATCCATATCCTACTCACGTGTTACAACGAGGACCTGTCTACATCCAGTAACTGTCTGTCCATTGCTTCCTTGACAGTAGTAAGTACCAGCGTCTTGTACAGTAACATTGTAGATGGTAAACCTCAGCTGTCCAGTCTGTGATAGTGAGTCCTTCCCGGTGTATCTCATCCTGGTCGTGTAGCCGGTGTGACTGGTGTTGAGTACCCATACACGGTGATACTTAGGCTGGACCAGTAACAGTCTCACAGCTACCGAACCATTCACCCATACGTTATATAGGAAGCTGACATTCGCTGGGTTCATGGTTATGATAACATCGTCGCCAACACGTGTAACAGTGTGTGGGTATCCAGTTGTTATGGAGGCAAGACCTGCACGCGAAACAAGTATTCGTCATTGAAACAAGGTTAACGGTTGACAGAATTATTCAAGCACATTATTGAAGTCAGCTCAATATAATCCTAGTTGACAGATACATACCACACACATATAAGCCCCCAAACAAAGAGACAAGATCATGTAAGGACGAAAGAACTTTTATGAACATGCGTTATAGTATTTTCTGTGGGTTGACTTGTCAAACTGACACAATTTTGCATTTTTAATATAAACCTTTCGGAAAATGTAAATTACATTCTTTTTAGGGGAGTCCATCAAGTGATATCGATATAACCGATCGGTTCTATTCTAAATATATTTTCCTTTATTGTTTGTCACATTGTTGTAATGTATCTACTTAATTGTTATTATGATTGTTTCCACTGTATAATATGTTTATATCCCATGCACAGTACTTCATATACATGTATGCACTGTACTTACATATCACACACACATTACTAACATATGATCTAAACTACGCTGAACATATTAACATATCATATATTAACATGTGGTCTACACTACGTTGAATATACTAACATATCATATACTAACACGTGGTCTACACTACGCTGAACATACTAACATATCATATACTAACATGTGGTCTACACTAGGCTGAACATACTAACATATCATATACTAACATGTGGTCTACACTACGCTAAACAAACTAACATATCATATACTAACATGTGATCTACACTACACTGAACATACTAACATATCATATACTAACGTGTGGTCTACACTATGCTGAACATACAAACATATCATATACTAACATATGGTCTACACTATGCTGAACATACTAACATATCATATACTAACATGTGGTCTACACTATGCTGAACATGCTAACATATCATATACTAACATGTGATCTACACTGCGCTGAACATATTAACATATCATATACTAACATGTGGTCTACACTACGCTGAACATATTAACATATCATATACTAACATGTGGTCTACACTACGCTGAACATGCTAACATATCATATACTAACATGTGGTCTACACTACCCTGAACATACTAACATATCATATACTACCATGTGGTCTCAGCTGAGGTAAGTGTGTTTGTTCAGAATTGCCGAAACTGGTACAGCAGAAACTGATTACCCGGTGAGATAAGTCATGTGACTATTAACCTTATAGCGCCTTACAGGCAGCTTGGGTTATCCAGGGTAATAATAATCAGATTGTGATTCAGCGTCCAGCGAGCAACTAGACAGATTGATACTAGGCGCTATATAAAACAAACATATTAAATACTGGCGTGATAAGTTCATGTAATGACCTGCACGCAAAAAAATACCAGTCATCATTACTTGTGATTACTGAGAGAATATCCCGTATTACTTAAGAAAACAGTCACAAGGATGGCTATATAAAATGTCAATTCGAAGACAAATACATACCACACACATGAAGTAATCCGGTCACAGTGTAAAACAGAAACATAGTCAGCAGCTGGTTAACACTGACAGATCTGAGCTGTTAATGTTAGTGTAGTTTCACTTGACACTATTTCCCTGTCACATGAACCTTGTCCTTGCTTGTTGAAACAGTAGTGAATACGCCGTGTCGTTGCTATTGGGCAGTTGAATATTGAATACTATGTTGTCATGAGTTTACTTGGCAATGCTGGTTCTGTCTACTCTGTGAATCATATCCCTGCTTGATGAAACACTAGTGTCGTTATCATTGGGCAGTTGAATATTGAACACTGTGTTGTCATGCGTGCTGGGTCTGTCTGCTCTGTGGTAGCCAAGTGGTTAAAGCGTCCGCTCGTCACGCCGATGACCCGGGTTCGATTCCTTCTATGGGTACAATGTGTGAACACCATTTCTGGTATACCCCGCCATGAAATTGCTGGAATATGGCAAAAAGTGGCGCAAAAAGATATTCACTGACTCACTCACTCAATCACTCTCATATGTACCCGTATTTACTCTTTTTCACTGCACATCAAGATGTAAATGTTACTATTGAGATCACACCAAGGTTTCTTTCTTTAACGTCGCCCTTTGCAATATTCCAGCTATTCCAGTCTGTAAATGATCAGACAATCCTGTGATCAACATCATCAGCATCGATCTTCGCAATTTGGATACGATGACATGTGCCAACCGGTCCCGTTAGTCGCCTCTTACCACAACCATGGGTTGCTGAAGATCAATTCTATCCCAGGCCTCAAAAAGAAACAAAACGAGTGTTTGTCAGACTCCATTTATCTTACAACAAGTACAGTAATCTGTTTCTTACAACACCCTTAAACCTCACAACTTTTGGATCAAATCGATGCATATTTCGTTCTTTCTCATTGTATCGGCGCATTGATAAATAACCCAACGTTATGAATGAGTGACGTCGCTGGACTTACTACTCACTACACATACTATGTGTAACCCTCCACACAAAAAGCGTTTCAGTCATATTTGTGCATTTTCGAGGCAATAATCATGATGTAAACAAGATAAGATCAAAGAACTTCTCAAAAAACCATGACGTTGCAACTGTAAATCAATCTTTCGCAAGTGAAATTATTTCACAGTGGGGCGTCATTATTCTCGTTCTGAACATGTGCTAGGTGACGTTTATTTCATTTGAATTCAGTCGTCATCGAAGGATAGTGTAGGATTTTTTCGCAGATGGGGGATCTGCTAAGCAGCCAGGTATGAACCCCATGGAACAACTTTTAGGAGGGCATGGGCAGATGTTTTTCGTGCGAGGGGTGGCTACACTAGGTACTGACGTGGTCGTCAGTGTCGGTTCACACATTCACAACAAACAATAACTAATAATTTGGTGACAATATTCATATTAGTGGCGTTGTCATGGTGACCATATTTTCAGGCATTGTTTTCACTCAAGTTTCTAGTTATTTTCTCTCTCAGATTAGTAGACTGATTACCGGATTTTCAACATATTTAAGGCAGTCGTTAGATCAAATAATTGTTTAGTTTTAGAATTCAAGAAATTCTTTAGTTCCTTCAACAGATCTCAAGTATTTAAATTAACTGACATCCTGAAGTTTTATCTCTTAGACTATTTTCATTATATACTCTTTTTTATTACAGACATCTTTCTATTATGAGTTCAATGTTTTATATTCACTAACATGAGTATCACAAGGAATATATCAAGAGCATGACGTGTGACAATTCCTAAAGGTTGCCATATCAAAATGGATATTAATCTGGTTATTAATACTTTCAACAGCTGAGATTCAGTTTCGCCTGTAACTTGGAAAATGTCAGCAAATCGAGTACCCCAGATGTATTTTGTATCGAGCTGGTAACATCCATTTTATTATCTTTAATCTTTCCATACAAGATTTACCCGAAACTGGAGAAAGGTCAGAATAGTAAGGCGAAGCCAATGATTATAGCACACTAAAGTACACACTGGGGCACACATAAACATCCAGTCAAAGTCAGAACACGTGTATGCTCCAGGGGCTCAGTCTGCTACAACACAGCCCAGCATCTTGCCAAACTACTAGCACTTTTGGGAAAAGAAGGAAAATCCTACATCAGCAATTCCAGTACCTTTGTCACAGGTCGCATGGTCAGCGTGTCATGCAGTCTTCTAAATGCCGTTCAAGGACTAAACTATCGGGCAAAAGAAAGTTACCACTTGTAATGCAATTGCATAAACACCCAAGCAGAAATGATTCCCCCAAATATAACATGCTCCCAATAAAAACGAAGTTGTCCGAAAACTTCAACCGAATCGTGCATTCTTCAAAACGTGAAAAAAGTAATTGTTAGACATTGGTCAAAATGCACGTGCACGATAGTGGCAAAAGTAACAATGTTGGGCAGAACAATCATGCGGTAGCCGTTGTGGTATAACTAAACTGTGATACGTACCTCACTGTTTTACTGTATTTTGTCCACAAATATGCAATTATAATATCTTCAATCTTTATTTCTTTTGTAGTGGAGGTCATAGGCCTTCATTTCAGGATTACAGAGCGATACATACATGTGCATATTTAATGAATAAGACAATAAGTTAATTTACAAAATATGCGAAAAGTAAATATGATATTATTGGCATTGGACTGAATCTCTAAGATTCATTGAACTGTGTATATAAATAGATAGGTTTTCTTTGCAATATATGGATTGACAATTGACATGACCATATTAGACTTATGAATAGTGGGACTTGAAAAGAATTTATACCTAAATTATTCTCATCGCGAAATGGCTGCACTATTGTCGATCTGATGTAAACTTTTAACTCACTCACTCAAACGCTTGTGGGGCGAACAACTGAATGAAAATGCAACCATTTTGGGGTTTGAACACACGATCATATGTTCCTGGTAAGGTTTACGGAATGATCAATGCAAGAAGACGACGAAAAATAATCATAATAATAACTTCATTAAGATGTCGCAACACATCAGATAACATATAATACAAAGTAAAGCGACTCTTTTTCATCGATACCAAAATATCCGTTCATCTATACCTAGACTCACCTACATAACTAACTGTACACTAACATAAGAACTATTCGCTTTAAGATAAGATTATAATATTTAGAAACCTTAGAATGTTTATGAAAACATGCTATTACAAATGTCTGTTTAACTGTAATCAATATTAGCCACTGTCACACGAGCTAGGTACACAGTCTTGCATACATTGTAAGGATGTAAGGATTGTTCGTCTGGAGCTACAAAGACAATATCACTTGAATAAAGTGACAAAGAAAATATCGTCCGCATAACGCGACAAAGAAAATATCGTCTGCATAAAGCGACAAAGAAAATATCGTCTGCATAAAACGACAAAGAAACTATCGTCTGCATAAAGTGACAAAGAAAATATCGTCTGCATAAAGTGACAAAGACGATGTCATCTGCATAAAGTGACAAAGAAAATATCATCTGCATAAAGTGAAAAAGAAAATATCGTCTTCATACAACAACAAAGAAAATATCGTCTGCATAAAACGACAAAGAAAATATCGTCTGCATAAAACGACAGAGAAAATATAGTCTGCATAAGACGACAAAGAAAACATCGTCTGCATAAATCGACAAAGAAAGTATCGTCTGCATAAAGCGACTAAGAAAATATTGTCTGCATTAAACGACAAAGAAAATATCGTCAGCATAAAGCTATAAAGAAAATATTGTCAGCCTAAAGCGAAAAAGAAAACATCGTCTGCATAAAACTATAAACACAATATCGTCTGTAGAAAGGTACAAAGACACTATCGTCTGCATAAACTGTTGCCTCACTTGAGGCTGCAGCCCGTACTGTGGTCCCGTGGTCGTCTGTTGGGGACGATGAAGGGTGGAGAGACGTATAGATAAGGAACTGTACCATCAGCCCTACTGGTGTCGTGGTCCTCTGTAGAGGAGAATGAAGGGTGGAGAGACGTGTAGATGAGGAACTGTACCGTCAGATTAGACTTCTGTGGGGGACGATGAAGGGTGGAGAGACGTGTAGATGAGGAACAGTATCGTCAGATTAGACTTCTGTGGGGGACGATGAAGGGTTGAGAGACGTGTAGATGAGGAACTGTAACGTCAGATTAGACTTCTGTGGGGGACGATGAAGGGTTCAGAGACATGTAGATGAGGAACAGTATCGTCAGTATAGGCTTCACCTGGTACTGTGGTCTTCGATGGAGGACGATGAAGAGTGGAGAGACGTGTAGATGAGGAACTGTACCGTCAGTTTTGGCTTCACCTGGTGCTGTGGTCCTCAGTTAGGAAGTTGAAGGGTGGAGAGACGTGTAGATGTGGAACTGTTCCCTCAGGAGTCGCTCGTAATCATGTAGGGCTAAGACATCCCCGTCGTTGTATGATGCACAAGGTACATCACTGAAGTCACGGGACAATCTGTCTGCCATCACAGTAAGATATTCACCACATCTGTAATTACAACATCACACTTACATTGCAGATAAAGTTGTTTTGCACAGAAGTGTATGTATTTTGCTTTCATGCAGCGTGGAACAGAAATCATTAATGGATTGGAAATCCTAAACAAGACCTCAACAGTGATCATAGATTTGCAATCCTTTCTTAACAAAACGTACATTTGTTACATAGATCCAATTGCTACTTTCTCCGTCATTTCCACAGATAATCTGTACGGGCTCCATTTATTCAGTTAGGGCGTAGTTCTCTGGGGTAAGTTGAGTAAATGGTGTTTAACACAGGAGATTGCAACTGGACACATATATGAGGGTTTGTTAACTGGTTATTACCATACCTAACTCCAATACTTAAGGTCAAACAATAAACTTATGTACCTTCTGTCCTGGTTTTCTGCAAATAAAGCAAAAGACAAACTTGTAAATTTGCTAAATGGAAAGACTGGTCAACGTTTCCATTTATTGAATAACAGTCGCTGTTAGCACAGTCCATCAACATTACCAAAACCAGAACACCATAAATAGGGCTTCACACATTGTACCCATTTGGGGAATCCAACCTAGGTGTTTGGCGTGAACGCCTTAACCACTTGGCTCCCGACTGCCCAAATTACTGAATCAAAACAGCGTTTACAAAATAAAATGAAAAAAAAGATTTCAGCATATGAAGGTATAGGATGAATGATAGGACATATTGCCAACTATTTACCCAATAGCCTTGAAGTATAGCAGATACTGCCAACTGTTTACCAAAAAGCCGTTGAAGGATAGCAGATACTGCCAACTGTTTACCCAATGACCTTGAAAGAAAGCAGATACTACTAAGTTTAAAATTACGCATTTGTCTTATCCACTGGATAGCAGATACTCACCGACTATGAATGTCTCCCCTTCCTGAAAGATATAATTGTGTAGATGCAAAATGTTAGATGAAATATATATGATAAACGAATTGCTCGTATACTTGCATACCTTTGAAGTAGACATAAATAACTGGAAATTTGTAGAACGATATGTGACTGTCAGCTAAGTAACACTGGTGTCCTGAAGTCCTTGTTGGGATGGTAAGACTAGTGGTTAAAGTGTCTCATGCTGGGATATTACTTGGATATTGCTAAAAGCGGCGTAAACATCCTCACTCACTCACTGAACGCTAAAGGCCATCAAATATGTAAATGTGTGCACACTATTGATTCATATCTCAAATGCCGTTCAAGCGTCTTGACGGTTATTAAAGAGAAATTATTCATATTCATATTTCTCAGGATGTTCCAGCATCTTTAGGGCTATATTAAAGAAATGATTCATATTTCTCAGGCTGTTCAAATGCATCTTGACGGTTATATAAGAGAAGTGAAATGAGTCTATGTTGGACTGAAATACACACAGAAAGGACATGTCAAGTAGATACCACCACAGTTTTAAGTAATTTACATCTAACTTCTCATGTAAGCTTATGACATAGATATTCAATTTTCACTCTATTTATGGGTGTGAAAGGTTTTGCATATGATCTCAATACTAGTGTCTCTTAAGGGTATAAACTCTTCACATCGAACACCCGGGTTCGATTCCCCACATGGGTACAATGTCTGAAGCCCATTTCGTGTGTTCCCGTCGTGATATTGCTCATATTCACTCACTATAAACTCTTCCTTCAAGGTTGGTGTCAGATTCAATTTCCCCACATCAGGCCTACCATACAAACGGTCAACAAATCATCAAAACTGAACTTATATACACCAAAACAGAACAAAAATCACCAAAAACTGCAACAATATCCTCTAAAACCGAAACAATAAATCTGTAATGGAAGACAAATCGTTTGAAATGGAAACAACACTCGCGTATCAGCTACAACAGCCGAGCCGAGCCGAGCCGAGCGGAAAATGAACAAAGTTTTTGTAAACTTTTTAAATCACTAAAATATAGTAATGTTGAATGTGACGCTATGAATACTTTATTTACAAAACTGAAGAGAAACAGGACCACGGCATGTTGACAAGAAATCCTGTTCGGTCGAACGAGGGACCACATTGTGCAGAATTGCAAGCCTGACACTGAGAAGCATGGACATAGGTTTGAAGCTTACTACAATAGGGGGTTTATGCGCTATATCCCGATATCAAATTTTCAAGATTAGGCTCATAGTGACGAAAAACAATTATGTACCAAAGCCTATTCGTCCCCCATCGCCGCCATCTTTGACGATTTGTATGCCGTTTCGGGATGCTATGAATGCCGTGTTGGGATGCTATGAATGCCGTTTTGTACGCTCGGCGACAGTTCTCGCGCGCTGTTGTAGCTGATACGCGAGTTTTGTTTCCATTTCAAACGATTTGTCTTCCATTACAGATTTATTGTTTCGGTTTTAGAGGATATTGTTGCAGTTTTTGGTGATTTTTGTTCTGTTTTGGTGTATATGAGTTCAGTTTTGATGATTTGTTGACCGTTTGTATGGTAGGCCTGCACATTTACTTCCTGAATGAATACTAATAGACACCATCAGGGACATCTTTACATTTAAACAAAATCCACCACATGGACGTGAAAAATATGACATAGGGAAGATCTATTAGTATAAATAGGACAAAATGATCATTTGAAAATGTATAACATGTCAATATAAAGTGAAATGCTTGCCAGATAACGTGTTGCTGAGTAACAGGGTGGAAATGGACATCAAATGCCACATACCGAAGTATTATTTATCTTTTACAGTTATAGCCAAGACATCACATCTAAAATCATATTAGTATTGCTTAACGTTTGTATAGGTGTATATACACGGCTGCGAAATATGGGGTTTTGAAAACTGTAAATCTGTAGAATCCGTTCATGTAAATTTTTTACGCAAATTCATTCCCGTTAAGAGAAGCACGCCATTATAATGCTATATGGAAAACTTGGAACGGTACCCCTAAAAAAAATGTCGCATGGTATATATCTGGGCTAGACTCCTATCTGGTAAAGAACAAAAGCTGTCAACAATGGTATACCAAATGTTATATAATGAAGCCTGCATAAACAATAGCAACCAAAAATAGATAAAATCAGTGCAAGCCGTTTTTAATGAAACAGGCTATAGCATCTGCTGGGTAAGTCAACCAGCTGTCTTTCTCAATGAAATTAAAACTATTATCACCTTAGGCTTAGATGATATAGCAACCCAAACATGGCGCGCAGAGATTTCGAATTCTTCTAAGGGTACCATGTATCGCGTATTCAAATCTGAACTTGTCTTTGAAAATATCTCACATATATCACTTTCTCCTTGGCTTTTAAATTTCTCTTGTTTAGAACTTCCTGCAATCGTTTACATATAGAAGTAAATTCTATAAAGAAAGAATGTGTAACCTCTGCTACACGTGTGACGTTGGCGATGAATTTCACTACATTTTTCTCTGCCCTTTCTTCAAACATCATATGAAGACTTATATCCCAAACCAATGTTTTAAGATTTAACGAATTGTTAAACTGTAAACGAATTAGTGTTTAAACAAAATGTGTATATTTTGTAGTACTGTCATGAAAACTGTACAATCTTCCTTGTAAACCATCCCGCCATCCTATGTATTCTCAACTGTATATTTATTTGTACCTGTTATGTCGAGTACCCCAGCCTGAGCATAATAAAAGTTCTGTTCTGTTCTGTTCTGGACAACGAAGGTGGGATGATGTCATCTTTTCAGACGAATCGACATTCAGAATGAGTTTTGATTTCTTGAATTGCGTTTCTTTTGCTTGTCAGTATTGGTATATATCATTTGTGGGGGTACAACGTATTCTGAAGTAACCATCCAACCCGCCCTCCCCGCCTACCTCACCCAAAGCGTTGTCCCACACTGTCATATATAATTCAGTACATGTGTATATATATAGGAAGGGACGGTGAGGTAGGGTAGCGGTTAAAAAGTCCGCTCGTCACGCCGAAGACCCGGGTTTGATGCCGCACATGGGTACAGTGTGTGAAGCAAATTTCTGGTGTCCCCCGCTGTGATATTGCGGAAATATTTCTAAAAGTGGCGTAAAACCATACTCACTCACTTTCTTATGCACTATCATCGTGTGACTGTTCATTTGAAAGCATTGGCCTTGCTATTCTATGGAGACAACTATTTCCGGGTGACGATACACTGAACACACACATCGATTGCGGGATGTAAACATGAGCATGTAGTTAATATATGAACCGCAACACGCTATTAAGTGAGATCAGTATTTGTAATTGCTGAACGAAAGTGCGAAAGGACTACTGCTGCTAGGAACAACTTTACGTGAATCTCGGGTAATCCTCATTCACTCTCACATCACACCGGATTACCTCCACGTCTCTGTTTTCTACAAACAACAACGATGACGACAACGGCGATGACCACGATCAGGACGGAACAGACAGCAGCCACGGGGGCGATGGAAACGGCACCAGATTCAGTAACTTCACGTGCTGAAACATTTCAGTATGCGTACGAGTATAATCATGTAACATCAAGCCTCTTCGGGAGCTTTTAACCCGATTCAAAACATATTAAATTGGTTGACACTTGCTATGTTCAGCTGAAATAACCTTTCCGTGCTACGCTTTGTAAGTGATTGATGAGGTACGCTGTACATCCCCAACAACAACGTCATTGTCCACAGGAGGACATGCAATGTCGGTAACATCAGTGTTCTCATTTGTGCAGGGTGAAGAAACGGAAATATGTAACGAAAAGTGCCAAATATATTACTCATATAAATAGAGATTCAGGAGCTCTACATTCTGTAGGGCAGGTTTCTAATTGATTTTTTCGAATTAACGGAAACATTTGGGATTTTGGAGCATCTCAAAGTTAAGAATCATTGGATTGATAATGCCATCAGATCATAGTGAAAATTAAATTCTTCATCAATATTACGGTTTCAAATGGATAGTAATTTTTAATCTTTGAGTGCCATCTAAAGGGTCTTTGATTATTTTAAATCTCTGGGTGTTCTAGCAGGTGTGCCAACAGG